TTCATCAGCTAACAAGCACTTTTACCTGTGTGGAAGGAAAGCGTATCTTTCTTTCAACATGCTAGCTCGAGGCAACCAAAGCATTTTCCTCCTCTTTGGATATTGCTGCTCAGTCATAAAGCTGTATGGATCTTATGCAGAACTCTAAAATTACCTATTTCTGGGACATTCTGTTGTGGTTTTCATTCTCTTTTGCAGACAATCAACCACCACTAAGGTTATCAAGAGGACAGGAGAAAAATCTTTGTAGTTCTTTTGGGTTTGACATTTACTTTCCATGGGAGAGTAAGAGGCAAGTTCAGAACTTTCCTTGGCTCAGTCAAAATATCTCAACTACAGGACCTGAAAGTCCAAGGCACATACTATGGCATGCACTGTTGAGGACATCATTTCCCCTTTCAAGTACTCTGCTTACAGAGGAACTGCACTGACAGTTGTTGATGGCAGTGTTGAATATTTGTCACTATTTTCAATGAATGTGAGCGATGTGGCAGAAAAAGAAGAGGAAATGGTTCTATGTTGTATCATTTGTGATGATGCACACTATAAGTCAGAGTATCTGCATATTGAAGAGGAGAATTACATGCAGAAATTCATACTTGAAAAATATGTTTTACCATTAATGAGGAATGTTGTATAAATAACTATAAACTAACATTTGTGGAATATTACACCACAAGAAAAACTTTGCTTGGCCCTTGTAAGCCTATTGTGTAAATTTAGAAGAAACTTAACAAATAAAATATAACTGGGTGCTCAGTAACTATCAGTTATTGTTATCAGCTGAGGGTAGTATCTGAACAGAATACAGACTTTCTGACAACAAAACCCACCCTCCTTGTGATTTGATTTGATGGGTGGGGGGAAGAAGCTTATTTCATCAGACAAGAAGCTGGTGTATTCTTCTCCATTTTTTTATTTATTCTCAGAAGCTTAATGAAGATGAGTGTCTGACACAGAGCAGTGCAGATAAGAAACTCCTAGACAAAAGCAAGTCTGTCAAGAGAATGTGATCCTTGTTTTGACTGCATGCGAGTTTTGAAGCATGATATACTTCTTTTTAACCCCCAGTAGAAGCCACATTTTTATATCCTTTCCACCAGCATAAATCTGATATAAGGAATTACTTGGAATGTAATTGACAGCAAGATCTGGCCTGGAGTATTAAAAGCAATGGGTTACATTCGACATTGTAGCAGTCATGTGATTGCAAATCACAGGGACAGCATCTTTTGAATTGATACTAAACTTTGAAAATATTTTAAAGCTAGATGTGAATGACCACATATAGTTTCTAAAGAAGCACAGTTGACTTTATACATAGATTTTTAAATTTTTTAACATTTATAAACCAAAAGAAATCTATCAACTAACAGTTTATGCATTTTTAAATATAGTAGTATTTTGCACTTGAGACTATATATACAAAATCCCACTATTATGTCCATCAATGAGAAGAAAAAAACACAACACCTTAGTAAATAAGCACTAAATCAGAAAGCTCCTTATTTTGACATGTATGAAAAATTATTCAGCCAGCCCATATGTAGAATACTGTTTACACAAGTAATGTGTTTACAATTAAGACTATTTTTAAATTATTTTGGTACAAATTAAGGAGTGTACTCTACTGTTGAATTTTATTTTTTTTTTAATTAATTGGATCCTTTCAAGGTATTCCTAAGGAAAAAAAGAGCAACACATTTGTTATTTGCTTTATGCTTTGTTACAAATGTCATTATTAGTATTCATTTAGGGTTTTTCACCTTTATTAAGTAGTTATATAGTTAACCTAGTCAGTCCTAGAGATGGCAACAGGTAGAGCATTATTAAAATGCTTTACTGTGTAAGCAGGCATGACAATGAACACACTTGATCTTGAGTGTGCTGGTGACCCCATTTCCAGACATTCATTTTTGCTATGGTGTAAAGCTGAGGACATGAAGTTCATGTTCATCTTTATGAGTCTTCTGTTGCAGAAAGGCTGTGAAGATGCAGCATATGGTGTGCCATGGTAGGAGTATCCCTCTCTAGTCTTAATCTTATCCCTGCAACCTTTCAGAAGGACAGTTTTCTGCTTAAAATCTTGTGGTGGCTTAGATATGAGGCTGAAACGAACAGAGACAGAGGCTGAGTAAATGGTTTTTCTCCATATGCTGCTGTTGGATGGACATGGAGTAGAATTGTCCACCACCAACTCTCTGCTGGACGCTTCTACACCACTGACTGCTGGGACAGCTCTACACAGGTCTGTGACAGATGGCACGTGGTTCTCCCTGTGCCTGTTCTCCCTGCTACACAGCAAGATCTGCAGAGCCTTGAACATGGGTGGGGGCTCTGAGTGCCTGGCAGCTCTGGAGACAGAGGCCCAGCAGTGAGCTCGTTCCTGCTCTGCCTGCAGTACCCAGGACACAATGGGGAGGAGAAGGTGGCCAGGCGAGGGAATGAGTGGCTGGGGAGGTGAGAAGGGGAAGCTGAACAGCTGAGTACTGCCTGGCAGGACAGCCTGCTGGGTTGTTATACAAGCCTTGCTGTTTTCAAACACAAAAATTAAAATTTTGGCCAGCTAGCATGCAGGCAGGACAGAAGGTGGTGGGGAGAACTACATACAGGAGGGTTTTCCTTGGGAAGCTGGGAAGCAGGTGGCCACCCTGCTGCAGGGAGGACCGGTAGGACGTGCTGTGTGGCCGGGGGTAGCAGTGCAGTGCACCTGCCAGCCCCTATGCAGTTGTCCTGGTGGAGTCAGCAGTGTAGAAAAACCTGGTGGAGAGTTGGTGGTGGACAGTTGTTCTAGACTCCTAGCTGCCTCCAAGCAAACATTTACTCTTCTGTGCACAGTTCAGGCAGCTCAGTTGTCTTTACACTGATGAAGAGTGGTTCCTAAAATCGGTTTTGAATGCCTAGTGATCAGCTGAGTTGACAGTGATGAGAGCATTAATGTTTACAGTGCTAGACTTAGAAAATTGTACTGTACCTTCATAGTTCTGAGTCAGGCAAAATTAGAAGACTAGGGGCACCAGTTTGTTCTGTAACAAATGTGCCCAAATGTGCATGAAATTGTGTTTGCTGATGCCATGAGTCCTTCAGGTATCATTTAGAGTTATTCTGCCTAAATTGAATATCACCTGCTCCAGAAAACCAGAGTGTTCTGTTGCAGCAAGAAACAGTCTCAGAATGTAATGCTGACCTTAAATTGCATGGCCAGTCCTGTCATCTATAACCCTCCTTAAAACATAGACCCACTTCAGGACATCTAATCTTGAATTCTAATGCTGCATTACATGAGGTGGTCTCATATGCATCTTCTGCTGAGACAGGTATCATGCTATGCTTATGATTATAAATAACATCAGTACAATTTTCCTCTGACACCACCACATGACCAGGAATGCATTGTTTGCCAAAGAATTGCTAGATGCTGTATCAGGGCCTTGATGACACATAATCATATGAAGTAGTTTAAAGAGTCCCTATGTAGTTGTTATCCATATGCTAAAATAAGTACAGATGGCATAGACCAAACCATGCAGATAAACTGAATGGCCTGAGAAAGGTCTGATTGACAGATTGTTGTATGTCAGGTAAACCCACATCAGAATGTATCAGTAATTCAGGAGGCTATTGCCAAGCAATAGCAGACTAGTGCCTTTCACATGTATAAAAAATAAAAATAAAATAATAATTTGCTTCTATGATCAGGAAACCACTATAATTTTTTTGCCATTTTCCAATCAAGAAAAGGAGTGATTTGTGCTTGGCTCTCTGCAATTAGTACAGTTCTATGTTGCAGCTGTTCAGATTGTGTCTGTAAAATTATGTAGCCATTTGGTTGTACAAACTATTGCAGAAGTTACCTGGCTGAGTTTGGAGTGTGTGTCACAATGTCATCTAAGTTAATGTTCAGTTTGAGAGTGAAAAGAAAGGTGGTGAATGTGAGGGAAAAAACTGTTACTGTGATCTGAAAATACTAACACTGAAAAATAATGCAACTCAGAAAAAGATATCCCATATCCAGCAAAGCTTAACTTCAACAGGCTTGATTCCATGCTTAAAGCTAAGCATATATCCAAGTGCCTTGCTGGATTGTGTCCTAAGGTGACAGTGGAGCATGGTTTCTGTGTTTTCTATCATACTCTGATCTTTTAATACTTGATTGGTTTTGTAGTGTAAGAACTTTCTTTCTTTCTCAAATTAAAATATTTGGCCAGAATCTGCAGACTTTTGCTCTGCTAATACCACTTTGAATTTCCACTCCTGTAAATAAGAGAGCAGGTTCTTTGTCTCAGACTTCAAAACTGTGCATCTGCCATGCTGTACAAGTAGGATCAAAACCGAATTGTGGCCAAGGAGAGCTTCTAGCAGCTCTTTTCCACTGCAGTTCCACTGGAGTAGCACAATCCCACACAGATCCACAGGGTGCAGGCCTTTCTGTGCTGAGCAAGTGAGATTGTTTCCATTGAGTTCAACAGTTTTTTATTCCATTTATTTACCATAACAATTGTGCTCCATTTTAAGGTATTGCCTGAGTAAATATTTCAGTTTCAGGATCTACACATCTAAATCTAAAAAGCTACACTTATGGTTATCTTAATGACTATTTGATAATCTAAGGGCTGCTCTCCAGACTAAAGTCTAGCCTAGAGCAACACTTTCAGTCTTCCCAACAGGTACAGCACAGTCGACCATCTTTCTCCCAGCTCAGTCATTGGCGTGCCAATTTTATTTTCTTTTTACATGCTTGCTGCAGCTGTAACAAACATCTTGAGTTTCTG